ACCGTGACCTACAATTGGTGTATTCTTAATGTGTGAAAAGGGAATAAATTTGCTAAATAGAATGGCACTTCCTGTGAACATGCAAAATAATCCTATTGGTAAAAAGTTGCTACGTAATCTTCCTGTTTGTAATCCTCGTGACCTGTCACCTTATTCATTAGACTCCAAAGCTTTGAAATAACAAAAAACAAGATCAAGTTCATAGCCATAGAACACAAATATATGCCTTTTTCCACATCCTATTGTCATCTGACTTTCTTATGGATACATGGAATGTAAATAAATAAATAAAATAAATAAAACATATGGGACATCTTTAAACTTCTTTTATCAATATGTGATGTGATCTGTTACTGTCTCGGCCCTGATAAATACTTGTTATGAACCAGTATGCCATGCCTCTGTATTTGAGGCTGTTGGAGCATTTGACCCAGAGGACTGCACTAATATCTGCTTATGGGTAGCAGACAGTATGGCAGTAAATCTGCCGTGAAGAACTCGGCCTCCATTTGTTACTTAGTCTGTCTTCAAGGATTTTATTTCAAGATTGCTTAAGACCTGAGAGACTTCTGATTATTATACTTCCAAGATAACCTTATCATAACATCATATTTCCTTTTGATTTAACAAAATGTATCTGCTCTTAATTTAATGGCCAGTGTCCATCAAAATTGATGGTACACGTGCGCCATTTGTGTGTTGCTGAGAACACTGAAACAAAGTTCTGATGGTGATGACTCTGGTAGCAAGAAATGCAAGCAAGTCCATGGTGGTGTTTTTGTAGGGTCTGTATCTGACGGTACTCTGGGGTTATTTGTTCGGTTTTGTGTTGGATCATTTTTCAGGAAACACCTTCAGTTGCCGTGAAGATGTTTTCACATTTAATGTACTTTAGAAGAAGTGTGAATTTGTATTTCTGATATGATTTTAAAGGATAATGCTGCATTAAATTATGTTGAGTAGTAGATATTCATGCCGTTATTTTCATTCTAATTTTAGAATTAGAGGATGGTGGTGTTTATGCTCTTGATTTCCAAATTTCTAACATTAGAACCAATTTTTGTTTTTTCGCAGCATATTTTACTGATGCTGGAATTTTATGGTACGAGCAGCATCCAATATTCTTTAAAGCATTTTGGCATTAAACAATATCTCAAAAACGAATGTGGAAGAGAGGGTGGTTTTACGCACTGAACAGGAATCCGCATAAAAAATATATCGACGCAATTTCAACGACCCATTGCATCATACCAATCGTGCTCCATACATATTGTATTTGGATTTAGACATACATTTGGCCATAGTGTGAAACAATAAATTTGCCTGTTGTTTTGTATGGGTGCGAAACATGGTCTCCCATTCTGAGGGAGGAAAATAGATTGCAGGTGTTTGAGAATAGGGTGTTGAGGAGGATATTTGGGCCTTGGAGAGAAGACGATGGGTTATGGAGAAAACTGCATAATGATGAATTTAAAAATTTGTACTATATGGTCAGGGTGATTCAGACAAGAAGAATGAGATGGTGCGCATAAGTGGGGCAAGAGGTGTGCAAAGGGTATTGGTCGAGAAGCCTGAGGGGAAGAGACTACTGGGGAGACCTAGATGTAGATGGGAGAATAATGTCAGGCGGGATCTATGGGAGATAGGAGTTGAAGGAGACTGTATTTTGTTGGCCCAGGACAGGGTCCGGTGGAGGGCATTGGTGAATTCGATGATGAACCTTCGGGCTCTCAAAGCTATCTAGATAGTTGGCCACAGCGTGTGCAGTGTTATTTCTATGTGACTCACGTACATTAAACTCCATATTATGGGTTGAAGTGTGCCACTGTTCATTCCAACATTGCAATCTCAAGAAATAAGCCCTTGATGAGGGTCAGGGCCAGTGAAAACTGAGTCACTTCAGCAGTGACTAATTTCACCACATTCCGTGACTTCTATTCAGGCATTGCCAACGTGTCGCATACTAGCCGCGCCCATACTGTTGTTAAACGTGCTTCTTCAAATTATACACATCTAGAGCATGGATTTCTTATGCACGGTGCATACCGTGAATTTATAAATCTGTTTGTATCGCCTCTTATTGTGTGACACTAAGATAATGTATTTTGTTTGTAACCTATACTCGGAAACATTATAGTTTATCTTGTTGGTACAGCGTCATTTGGGGCTGTCAAAGATGGCGCCGGTCATAGAAAATGTGGGGGTGAATGGGTTTTTGTCAAAAAAGAAGGAAGAAGCAGATAATAAAGAAAATTTATGGTATGTGTATTTACAGCAGCTAATAAAAACAAAATTTAAACTAATAGACACAATTGTTCGATGATTTTTACTTCTTGGCGGAAAGGAAGTCGCTAACAGTGCGCAATTCTTTTCTCGGTTATGATGTATACGCGATTTAGCATTATATATTGTATGTTTTCGCCTTATAATACGTTATGATTTTCCATAATTGGTGGCACATAATAATGCCACACATGTGTCATTTTCATTTAATACATTTTTTATATGCAATGTACACTGCTGTATTGATTTCATGTTGCCACTATGCATGTCGGTAAACTTTTTATTGATTACATAGATAATTGTGAATTGCGTAAATTTGTTTGATATCTGGAGTGTGTTATCATTAATAAGAAATTCATAAATTTTCATTGTGAAACCTATATCAATTTTTTATTTTTTCTCTTTCAGGTCAGCTATACTAGGAGATGTTCAGACAAGAGGGAATACAAAGTTGCCATCTTATAAATCTGTATTAGTGTTAGGCAAGTAGCTTTATTTTTTACAGAACAATATAAGAAAGCACTCACTGTGATCTCTAATACTCAGTAAAGCACAGATATTTCAGGATTCCTAACCTCATTTAATTAAGATGGCTGTCTTCTGGATTGTGTTCTATTTTCTCATACTAGGTGTTGAATGTACCACATGCACCATCACGTAATGAACAGACACATTTCACTTATGGGATGTGGTAATACCCTCTTTGGAAATATTGTGATGCCAGTCATACACTGGATCTTCTTCCCATGTTATCTGTATTTCTGTTGAGAGCTTTTTAGTTGAATTACCACTCTTAATCTAACAAGACAGGTGAAAGTCAATACTGATTTTCATAATTTGAAAGAAGATTGTAGGCCTCATTGCAAGGAAACTGTTTTTGTTTCATGGAAGACTTGTATAAATTATGCTTTAGCAAGTGTGATGCATAATCTGCATAGATGGATACTGGTGGAGTATGTGCAATATGTATGTTTGTTTTGCAGCTTTGGTTGCTTATCCCAAAGACTTACCTATAACATAAGCTTGTGACTGATTGCTTATTAATGTTTTTTCTTTAAGATGTATCCTGTGTGTTTAATGATGGTTTAATGTAATATAGGTGATAATGAATCAGGGAAGACAACTTTAATAGCCAAACTTCAGGGTGTAGAGGACCCAAAGAAAGGATCGGGTTTGGAGTATGCTTACATAGATGTCCGTGATGAATACAGAGATGGTAAGTGATTTTAAAGTACTTTAACAACTGCCAAGGAAAATCAACTTATATACCAATCTGTATATCTTATGATGTTACATCTTTTACTCAAATATGTAATGTTTAAGAATGTTTCCTAAATAACATTTGGAGAGCACATGTTATTCTGTGTATAGAATTTGAATGAAGCTCACTGATACTTAGGGAATCATTGATATAATAAAACTTTTTAAGTGTGCACCATTGAAAGCATTGTCCAAGCTGCTTCAATTGCTCTTCCATTTAGCAGATATGATATGAATTTGATTTACAACACACATTTCTTGCCTAGACAGTAGCCAGACATCACACATGAAAATGAATACATTTAGTGTACCTGCAATCATAGAAAGGAAAACAGTCATACCTTTTTAAATAAATGGGAATTTTAAACAAAATGTATTGGCATGCCATTTGTCTAAATTGTGTGTTCCACTTGTATGGAACATTACAGGGCCTTAATCTCAATCTGTTCATGGCCAGTAAAGACCAACAGGTGTGATTTGTCGGTATCTGTTTGATCTGACAGCGTTCGTATGAGTCAAACATGTTATTAGCACATGTGTTTCATCTTCAGATCACACTCGACTCAGCGTCTGGGTCTTGGATGGAGATCCCTCTCATGCACATCTCTTGCGATTTGCACTGTCAGAGGAGAGTTTTCCACACACGCTTGTGATGTTTGTAGTTGCCATGACAACGCCTTGGGGAATTTTAGATCAGTTGCAGACGTGGGCTACTGTCTTGCAGGACCACATTGACAGGTTAAAAATCAACATAGATGATTTACAAGATGCCAGGCACAAGTGTAAGTAACCTTTCCTTGATGAAATGTTTGCAAAAAAGAGATTGATTTTTAGCCTGTGATGTTCATTTATGTATTTAAGTTTGTACTTTATTTTTTCTCATCTTCATCATAATTTCTAGATGTAAAGAAATGGCAAGATTATGTGGAACCTGGAGATGAATTGGAACAAGGATCCCCAATGAGGAGGACATCTCGAAATCTAGATGAAGAAGGTGGTGACATTCTGCCTTTAGGTGATGGTGTACTTACAAGGAACCTAGGATTAGATGTGGTTGTAGTTGTTACAAAGGTAAGAAGAACTTGTTTTTAATAAACCCTTATAGAAAAAAAATATATATATATCTGAAGTTTAAGCCAACTTTTTGTGCACAGAATCCTCTAGTAAGAAATTTATGTAAAGTGAAAAGTTGTCATATCAATGCAGAAAGTGTAATTGAAATCTGTTGTTGTTTCTAGACAGATTATATGTCAACGTTAGAGAAGGATTACGATTATCGTGATGAACATTTTGACTTTATGCAACAGTGGATTCGTCGGTTTTGCCTTCAGTATGGAGCAGCATTGTTTTATACATCAGCTAAAGAAGATAAGAACTGTGATCTGCTATACAAATACCTAACACACCGCATTTATGGGTTTCCCTTCCGTACGCCTGCGCTTGTTGTTGAGAAGGATGCTGTGTTGATGTAGGTATTGAAGGCATTCAGTTACTGAAGCTTTTGGAAACTCTGTCTCACAAATAGCCGTCGGTTTGTTACATTTCTGGGGATCCAAATGTACTGTTCATAATGTATGAATTTGGTTGTGGTCCATTTTGTAACATTCTGTATGTTGTGAAAGCCGTTGCATCTGAAAACCAAGTTGCATATCTTAAAAACCTATATTGCTAAAATAAGCAGTTAGTCAAGGCATCACCTCTAAATGTAAATGTACTTTTTAGATTTTATATGTTAATGTAATTGAGATTCATAAGCTGATTACTCTATAATGGCTCCATGTAGGTAACAAGTGCTGTAGAAATTAAGAACTGAACATTGTTGGCAGCAATGAGTAGAGCTTTTGGATTTGCCTGTGATGAAAAGAGTGTACTTTTAGGGTAAAAATCTGATATTATTATTAAAGTTAATTGATTATGTATGGATATAATTAAAAGGGCAAAAGGATTACCAACACACGCATCAAATACTCAATATTGTATTTTCAAAATTCTATTTTGCAATGCTATAATTGCTTAAAATTGAGAAACATCAGAAATATGAAAATAACGCTCAAAACAGCGTAGTAGCCACGTGACATTTGTGTGGAAGTAGTTACATCAGTAGAGTTCAACTTTTTTTACCTTTCCAAATTTATTCACACCTCTGCATAAAAAGTAAATATTTTACAAAAAGAAAATTATGATAACAAGTAAGATACAGTAGAATATCTTCACCCTTACAAGAAAAATTACCATCACCAAAAAACCCAATGATCATTAAAGGATTTGCCCACACTGCAGATAGGATGGTAACCTCATTTTTAAAAAGTTGTGAGTATTTTTATGTGAGGGGTTATGGTCTCTAAAAAGGACTGTATATAACAAAATTAAAAGGTCTGGATCTCCTTATTTTACTGTGTTAAAGTTTTGATGTAATATGTGGTCTTAGGAACTATTTACAACTGCTACCCAAAGTATTTCGACAGAATTCGATTTACAAATCTTGAAATATTCAGGAAATATGATTGTCCTTTGCAGTCCTTCTGGTTGGGATAACATGAAGAAAATTAGCATATTGTATGAGAATATGCAGAGCATGAAGCCAGATGACTATTATAGAGATGTTATAGTTCAGCCTGTTCTTAGAAAGGTAAGTGCATTGTTTTGATGGAAATATAATATGTTGTTTTAACGTATCTTCACTTTTAGGTTTCTTGAATTGTACAGATGTCTTCTAAATTCTTCTGTGTGACTGATCTTGTAAATTATTTGTATAGTTCAAGAAATGTATGCAGAGAAATCCCAACAAACTTCTAAAACAAAGTGAAATTTCAAAAATGTAAATATTTACTGGTATTAATTTGAAAAATTAAATAATGTATCAAGGGCTATAGCTGTATTCACCCTTTTTGGCCGCTGACCTTGCTGGGAGAGCCCAGTATGCGGACCACTCAATGAAGGAAGGAGGAGGAAGGGATACAATTAAGTTTACAACCTGATATTGTTGTCTTGTGATTATGATGTGTTAACAACATTCCACCTGTTTGTTGCAATCTCCTTTTTGGTCATTTATAACACCACCTATCACAACACTCAGACAAACCACCGATGTCTACCTCAAAGAAGGACAAAATGAAAGCCTGGCTATTGGGAAGAAACATTTTGTGACGTGTTGAAAGCTCAACTGTACGATTTAATAAAATTAAATGAGTCAAAGCACAAATGTTGCGTGATTGATCAGATTTTAGCAGAAAAGAACATACTGTGCCGAGACTTCCGCTGTACCATCCCAATTTAAACGCCATTGAACTTATTTGGGCAGATGTAAAATGGGTTGCAAGCAAGAACACAACATTTAAAATTAAGAACTTTGAGCAACTGTGTCTCCAGAGATTCAAAGAAATTGGGCAAGAGGAATGGGAATGTTGAAAAACTAGAACAGATTTATTATGAGCAAGAAGGCATAATCGAAGATAATGGAGTGGACAGCAGCATCGGCAGAGATGAATTGAGTGATATGTCAGAAAGTGAAGGTGTGTGAGGAGTGGAAGAATTGGAAGAGGACTGAAGAGTTGTGAAGAAGATAAAATTATCTAATACTTTGTGCAGTGTTAATTTTCTAGTGATGTAGTGTAGTGAAATTGACTTTCCTGTGATATATACCATGGTGATATTTTATTTCGAGTGTACTGTACGTGGCCTATTGCCATCCCTTCCAGCAAACTTCTGGTAAGTGACTCGCTCCAAGGTTCCAATTCAAAAAGCTCAGCGGCCAAAAACACTGAATCCAGCTATACACTGCTGTAATTGAAATCAAACTGTGTGCATTACTGTGCATACTCATTGTGCTTCAAAGTTGGTAACATTTGAATCAGCTTGTTCATTTCTTCACTTTGAATGTGCACATGCATGGGGAAAATCTGACATGACAAATTCCAGGAAATGTAATATTTAAAAATTACCCTCCAATCCAGAATAATTATTGGAATTTGAGAATATGTCTCAAAAAATATTATTTTGGCATTTATATTGTGTAAAGCGTCCATGATTGTTTGACACTAGCTGCAGAGTATTTTACAGTATTTATAGTCAGATTTCAACCACTAATTTTTCATTAGTTATATTTGGAAAATATCAAGTTTATAGTATCCAGTGTCTTTAATGTTAACCTGTGATTTCTGCTGGAAATGGAAGCTTTGTTACTGACAGTCACCATTATCTTTGCAGCCTGTGACTCGAGAATCAGAAACTCAGGCGGAAGACGAGCAATCATTCCTGACAAGGCAGTTGCAACTTCTGCAGCAGGGTGCCCCAAGTTTGCGACAGGATTCTTCTCCAATGAGGACACCAGCTGGAGTACAAAAGACAGGGGACAGACGGACTAGTGGTTCTCCTGGCGTACAAGGGCAGCTCGGCTCTCCAAAAAAGGTTATGTACAGTTTCTTCTCTAATCACAAGGGAGTGGTTAGGTTGGTCATGCCAAAACCTCACTTGAAATTTTGCTCATCTACAGAGCCCATCTAGTAACGATTGTACACAAAATTTCAGCTGCTGATGCGCTGTGCAAGGGTGCGAAAAAATTGCTCAAAGTTGATCCCACTTCATATCTTCTTGGAGGCCACACAAGTTACATGACAGGTCTGGTAGAATGCCAGAGCAGTGAAGGTGATATGCTAGGCAGTCGTGTCCAGTTGTTAAGCGGAACTTTGCAACTGCTTCTTTTCTTGGCCTGTCTGGTATCATAAGGATATCCCTTTTCCAGGGTTTCCCATTTGATTTCAAGGGTGTGGGTCTCTTGAATAACTCTCTTGATGTATATTTTAGCTGTATGGTAGGATGTTGGATTCCATTTGACGTTTCCAGCGATACAGTTGATGTACGGACAGAACAAGGCGAAATCGATTTCGTACAGTAGCCAAGCTGTAACGCTTCTTGCCATCTCTGTTTAGACAGTACTGTACGGCCTGTTTTCTGTCCTCCATTTTAACACTCATCAGGTCTCTTCTATGGTCTAGGGTGGTAGCTTGAAAGTGATGACTGCTGGTCATCGCTTTTTGACCGACTGACTAGTACATCGCTATCAGGTGACTGATCAGGTTGTTCAGTACCTTCGTATTCATTGTCTAAAATGTCCGGTGTGTCAGTGGTTTCGATGAAATGATCTGGACAGAAATCTTGATTGTCCAAAATCTGCACAAGAAGGTCGCACATCTGCTGTTCTTCGAACGTGTTGTGTGGCCTGGCTGTAATACTGCGTCCTTCATAGACCTGGATTGTAAGTCGCAAAACGTCGACAGCGTTCCACATTGCAGTGAAATATCTGGTAATTACAATGTCATTAAAAACACCTCCTCTACAGTGCGCAAACAACAATGGTTAAGATTCTAGCTCCGCGGAGACTAATCTTTCACTGCCCTCTAAGCACCTGGCCCACGCCCTCCATTCCAATGTACCGGTGAATGCCGCACTGCTATCACGCGCATGCGCTGTGGCGCAAATTTGAAACATACATACCAACTTTGAGCAATTTTTTCGCACCCTTGCACAGCGCATTAACAGCTCAAATTTTGTCTACAATCGTTACTAGATGGGCTCTGTAGATGAGCAAAATTTCAGGTGAGGTTTCGGCATGACCAACCTAACCATTCCCTTGTCAGAAATGATTCTTAGTGGTTGGGGGGTTCACTGAAATGGTTTCTAGGGAGCTGTGTTTTACTGTAACTATGAGGGCATACTGAAAAGTAATGCTTCATAATTTGTTTTGTTCAGGAATAGATATTGAGGGAAAAACTGGCCCTTTTCATGAACATTATTGTAAAGTGTGTGTGTGTGTGAATTGTCAACACGGATACAGTGAGAAGTAATCATGTAAAATAACAAAATAATGTAAGACTTGAGGTTCTCACAGCGGTGAGTATGAAGATATCCGTCTTCTGGGTTATTGCGCTGTGTAGTCTGGTCTCATCGCCCTGATGACGGAGGCAGTATGACCTCTGAAACGTTGGTTAACATCGACCAGACTACACAGCGCAATAACCCAGAAGACGGATATCTTCATACTCACCGCTGTGAGAACCTCAAGTCTTACATTATTTTGTTATTTTACATGATTACTTCTCACTGTATCCGTGTTGACAATTCACACACACACACACTTTACTAGCGTTCAGGCAGTTTCAAGAGTCAATCACAATAGAACCAAGTATCTGGCTGATGGAACCTTATCTTACCACACTCTGCCACTGCATCCAGACAAGCTGTGGGGCCCAATGAGCCTCTTGTTTATTGGGTACCTTTGGTTCTCTCCGCAGCAGTAAAGTGGCCGGAGCATTAATTTCATTATGCACCTCCATATAGTGCTGAGGTTATGAGGCCATGGGGCTTTTCTAATAAATGTGTTTATTGCGCATGTGAAGAGATTACATTAGGAATTTGTATAAGTGTAACCTATGAGTTATCGTATTAGGTACGCATTTCTTGTCGTGACTGTGTACTGAATATTGCGGTACAACTTGTTAACAGATTGATGGAAGTAAACCGGGTGTGGCTGGTAGCGGAGAAGGAGTACTTGCAAACTTCTTCAATTCTCTTCTGCACAAGAAAACTGGAGCTGGATCTCCAGCACCGAAAATGTCAGGTGATGATAGTGGAATTGCCAAAACTTGAATAACTTGACCATTTGAGCACCAGGGTGTCTACAGTTCTTAAAGGTAAAGGAAAAGCCATGAAATAAAAAAATTATGTGTTGCCAGACATACAACTTTATGGTATGAGATATAAATGTACGATTTACATCAAAAGAACTAAAACTGTTTTATATCATGTATGATCTGGAGCTTTCACTGTGACTCGATATAATAAAGATCTATCAGGCTATCAGCTGTGTCATGTGGTTAAAAGGCAAAACAACCGACGTTTCGAGAACCACCTTTGTGCTTGTCTTCAGGGTATTGATGTGACTGGAGATCCAGTTTGTGTCATGTATGTACTTGTCTGAGCCCTGTGTTCATGGCTGCGTGCTAGTTAGTGGGGACTGGTTGGTGGAGTCAAGAGCTTTCTCTGTTGGCCCAGCTTTCTGACTGGATAGCGTGTTTATCACAGGATGCCAGGATTGGCTGAACATGAAACCACCATCTCTGTTGAAGTTTCGGGTGTTCAATGTTTTTGTGAAAATCGATATGAAATTCTTGTTTATAAGGCAGTAGACACCCTGAACCCCTGAAGATTGTTAAGTAGCCTTTTCTCAACGCAAGCCAGTTGAATGTTTAGTAGTTTGGTTTTTGTGAGTTTTTTAAATCTGCCCTGGTAAATGTTGAGTCCTCGAACTAGTAGGTTACATTTTATTCCCCCGTAGTGTAACAAGATCATATCAGAAAAATTTGTGTTGTATCACTTTATCTGTTCTTCCCACATCCTTTACGATTCATTATTCCCTGTTATCCTCTCATTCAACACTATTTAGTCTGATCTGCTGAAAAGCATTGCTAATTAAAGTATAAATAATTCAATATCTCTGTGTAGTGTAGATGATAGTAACATTTTGATTTTGAAGCAAAGTGACATCCCAAAGTCACTAGTATTTACAAGTACTCCAAGATACTCATCTGTAGAGCCTTTGCAGCTTGCTTCTGTATCATTAGAATAACATCATAGTTTGTTCATTGTCCCCCCCCCCCCAAAAGAAAAAAAAAAATCTTTATGAATCAATAATTTTCACACCTTTGTACTGATAACTTTGATGTGCTGTATTCTTGGGAAAGCTGAATAAGTTATCCACCTAATGTGTGGAAATTCTTGCAGCTGACCTTGCAAATGAACGACCTCACACATCTGTAGACAAGGCAGTTATGCGCTCGGATGCAGCAGCTGAGCTGGACCGACTAACCCGAGGCAAGAAGTCATCTGTATCACCAGATCAGAGTTCATCAGATTGCTGAAACTCCGTGGTTACAAGTGGCTGGACCAAAATGTAATCTGGTAAACTAACCACTGGACAGGGTCAGCAGTGAAAAAAATTAAGAATGACCTGTGAGCCTGCATTAAGGCCACTTGCTTTATGTCTGAGAATATATTTTGGTTCTGGAAATATTTTAGGTTTGATTTATAAAATCCCTTGTACTTTTTCACTACCTACCCTTTCAAAATAACACATTAATGTGTCAATTTATAAATGGCTCTATTCTTTAATTGTATATATTTAATGCAACACATTCTACTAATGCATTACAGTGCATTTTGTGCTTCTTCTCCTTTTCCAATTAAATTATATAACTTATGTTAGAATTTTGTAACAATACAATGTAGCATTTGTAGAATGGGTAGGTGGAAGAATAGTTGAAGGATTTTTAGTCACCCAAAAAATAAGACTAGACATTGTTCTCTACAGTAACTGTGGCCTTAACTGAATTTGTGGCCGGCAGCTGTGCAATAGAAGCGCAACAGTATGTGCAAGCGCCTGCCCCTTGGTGTAATTAATTAAAGCTGCTAACTGATTCTCTTTGTGAATAATGCGTACCACAATTAAAATATTTTCTATTTATTTTTTTCATCCCTGTAATGTGACGGTGTTCTCAAGTAACAGATTACTCTGCACTTGGGCCTTGGCTTGTAGAGAATTCTCCTCATATCATACAGAGGAACAATATATTTATTGGCAGATAATATGATTCCAAAGAGACGCTAATATTGCTAATCTACTCTGTTTATTGTAGAAAGTGTGTAAGAGAGAGAATGTATGTGTGCAAGAATTATGTGAAAAGTGGAAATTAATTTTGTTTATTTTGCTGTACAGTTTAACACATGGCTTGTTAATTGAGTCTTATTATAGTTGTTTTAGGAGCAAGAAGTTTTAAACATTATTCAAATTGTTATAAAAATACAGTCTATGCAAATTTGAGCTGGAAGAGTCAAAAATTCTTTTTTTCTTTCTTCCTTTTTTTTTTTTTTTTTAGGGTACTGGTTGAATGTGTATTTTTTGAAAATGGTTGTTCAAAGCACACATCAAATATATTCAGCCATTTGTTTGAATAATTAAATAATTTGAGATTTCTTCCTCTTCTGAAACTTATGAAAATGTGCAGCTACAGAACAGCATTTCTATCTTGTATTTTTTTTTTTTATACTAAACCTCTGTGCGTACTGCACCTGGAATTTCTAACGTCGCTTAATGTCGTACTATTTCTGCAACAGTTGTATCCCATCCAAATGTTATAGATATCTTGCTTTGCTGTAATAAAAAAATGAGAATTGTTAAAATAATTCCATATTGTAATTTCCGTATCTTGCGATTAACGCGTTTTCAACCTTGCAAGACAGTTGAGTATGTAACTTTAATACATGTTCATAGGATGAGGCAAAGTATTGAGGAATGGGCTTGTGAAGTTTGTGTCCTGTCAATAGTATGTTATTATTTATTGAAACATACTTTCGACAGAAATGGCTTCCTGTATAGGATGCAGATGTTATGTCTGATGCAGGTAGCTGTCCCTTCACCAGGTGCACAGTTAAAGGAAAATGAACAGCAAACTGTTTTTGTAAGATCAGCCTTTATTTCTGTGTGCCAGAATTGTGTAATCGCATCTCGTTGAAAAGTTTTACATGAGCTGATACATATATAACGGCCATTATTTATGGAAAAGCAGATATTATATCATTGTGAAAGCATTCTTATTTAATTTGTTTGAATAATGCCAGCTTATAAAACTATTTGTGGCAATGTTTCAGTTTATGTGAGATTAAAAAGGTGAGAGAAAACCTTCTGAAGTAGTTTGTATTTTTCATCATCAAACTTTGTTCTAACAGTTAATTTGGGTAGCAGATGTACACAGTATCATGAAGACAGAAATTAAAATTAAATTCTTTGAGACATCAATTTTTATGTACATTATTTCATTACCTTCATTGCATTAATGAAAGTTACTTTGTTGCTAGGCTATGAATGATAAAATTCTTTTGAGTTTTTCATCTGTGGGTTTGAGAATACAACGATCTCAGAGATTGATGACCCAGCCAGGTTCGAGACCTAGAATATTTGCCTTGGATCCTTCCTTTGGGTCAGCATAACATAATCAGGATCATTTTCCAGTACAGGTAACTGATAAACTTATTTTTGTGTAATACCCTACTGTAGAAACAGTGCGTTACTTTATTATATTAAGAAGGTGAATTACTATTTTGTAGAATGTGGTGGCCAAGTTCTGATACCCCAGTATACTCACAAACCAGCCAACAAATTGTATATTAGCTGCCTTGGTAACACTGACATAGCATCTCATTCATTCCAGTGTTTTTAACCGAACTCTGCATATAAATTTTCACACAACAATGAATTACTATTAAGCTGGTAGGTGAATTTAATCTGTATTAGTCACATATAAATTGTCATCTACAATTGGGTCAAGTCAGATTTCAATATTTTTGTAAGTGGCTAAAAATAAAAAATAAAAATGTACATGCAGATTCCATTAGTGTTTTGAAACTTGCCAATGTGTGGTGAGATACAAGGAAAAATAACTTCAACACATTCATTCATGTAAGATTTGAGGTCTTCACAGCGGTGAGTATGAAGATTTCTGTCTTCGGGGTTATTGCGCTGTGTAGTCTGGTCGATGTTTACCGACGTTTCAGAGGTCATACTGCCTCCATCACCAGGGCGATGAGTATGAAGATTTCTGTCTTCGGGGTTATTGCGCTGTGTAGTCTGGTCGATGTTTACCGACGTTTCAGAGGTCATACTGCCTCCATCACCAGGGCGATGAGTATGAAGATTTCTGTCTTCGGGGTTATTGCGCTGTGTAGTCTGGTCGATGTTTACCGACGTTTCAGAGGTCATACTGCCTCCATCACCAGGGCGATGAGTATGAAGATTTCTGTCTTCGGGGTTATTGCGCTGTGTAGTCTGGTCGATGTTTACCAACGTTTCAGAGGTCATACTACCTCCGTCATCAGGGCGATGAATATGCCAAAGGCCAACCAACCAACCAACAAGCCAACTAAGGGCGGAGTCCTGCGCAAGCTCTGGCATCGTCTCTTGCTAGGTGACACCATTCCTGCGCACGAAACGCATTGCTGGAAATGGCACACGGTCTTAAACGGCGATGAATATGCCAAAGGCCAACCAACCAACCAACGAAATTTTGCTAACGCTAACGGGGTTTCGTCGTGGCGGGAGCCTTGACCATTCAAACTGGGGGCTGCTGATGGGAGGTTATCCCGTCAAGCAACTTTTCCAAAGAATTTGGTTGGTTGCCTCTCTGGGGTTTGAACCCAGCGGGGGGGGGGGGGGGGAGTTTCGGCTGAAGGCCTCTGCGGCTGTGGGGAGATCACTTCGGCTGGGGGCCTCAACAGAACGGCCTGTCTGGCCGATGTAGACTTTAACGCACTCACAGGGAACGCTGTATACTCCAGGCGACTTCAGTCCTAGGTCGTCCTTTACCGGCCGGAGAAAACTGGGAATTTTCTTTGGCGGAAGACCAATAGACTTGAAGTCGTGCCTAGCCAGCAGCCTCCTTATGCGGTTGAAGGTCGTCCCGACATAGGGCAGGAAGGCAACCGAGGCTGGTTTTTCAGGAGGCGGTGACAGCCTCGCAGGCGGATTGAGAGCCCTCTGGATCTGTCGGTTGCTATATCCGTTTTTCATGAAGGTGGTGGTGAGTGTCTCCAGTT